CTCTGTGAACTAATATTTAAAATGAGGTAGGGCAGAATTAAATAAAAGGAAAAAAGAAAGGGAGAAAATAAGGAAAAAGGCTTTCTTAGGAGAGTTAGTTTGCAGCTATTAACAGTACTGATTGAGAGTGTTAGTTTCAAATGAAATTCTAAATTGTTCCCAAACCACTTTGATTTTTAAAGTTGTTTTGGAAGGATGAAGGGTTTTTTTTTTTTCATATCAAATTACTCCCAGTTATTTTTCCACGATTCTATTATATTTTTGGTTTTGCCAAGAGAGTGAAAAGAAAGTTAAAGCCAAAGACATTTTTGGCCACCAGAAGCATTTCTACATGAATAGGTAACAAGGCTGGGTATGAATTTCAACATGAGAATACCCTGAAATAACTCAGGCTTGAGGTTCAGAGCTATTCACACCCCAGTGGTCTAGGAGGGCAGGAGTTTGTTTTCTAAAGTAAGTTTTTTGACACTGTTTGCCGAGTTCTATGAAATTAACAGGACCTCTGAATCACGGTTATATGGGCAAATGAAATTGTTAAACTTCTATACTGAGTTTCTGAAATGGGACAAGCCTGATCTGGTCTAAAAAATTCAAAACAACATGTACAAATATAGATATTTTAGACTAAAGCCAAGATTTGTGCCTTCTCTGGAAAGACCCTGTAACATTGGACTGCAAGTCCCATCAGGGCTTCATTAGGTCACATTCCCTCAGCCCCCCAGTCCTCGCCTTTCCTGCATGCTCATGTTTGTCACCTGCTCTGTGCCTGGAGCTTTGAATTTATGATGCTTGCTCTATGTTCCATATCCTTCCTGGAGATTTATGATGGCACACGACAGGCCCTCGGAGTTGGGTTAGCTTTGTTTACAAAACTTGTTTGAAACTCATGAGCGCAATGACTACTGGAATGCCTAGTAACACCCTGCAGCACAATACACGGAGGCATGGGGTAAGGGAGTAAGCAGAATTCGGAATAGGACCTACATTCTAATCTTAACTCTTAGCAATAACACTGGATGACATTAGGGCATATGGTTGTTTATGCCTAAATGTTTTAACCTACTTCCAGACTTACATTAGTGTATAGCGGTAATTCTCATAACCACTTGTGGGAAGTGTTTGAAAAGTAAAAAACACTACAGAAGTGCAAAAGTTTATTTTTTTTGGTGGAGTTTGTAGTAATAGCAGATCTAGCATTAGTGCTCAATAAATTTCAGTTGTGTTGCACTTGTAAATCTCTTGCTACACGGTACGTTTTTTTTTTTTGTTTTGAATTACTTGTTGTTTTTAAAGATACTGGCTAAATTTAGCTATAATCTTACATTGTAGAAAAAATTTGTCAGGACCCAAGAGGGTGATGGGTAAGAGGGAAGGAAAAGGAGGTATTTAGTTAATATTAAATTTTTTTCTGTAAATACATCAATCTTGTAGCGTGTATTGAGTTTTTTCTTTGATTTTTCAAGACAATTGAGATTCTATTTTCTACAGTCTGTCTTCAAGCATTTGGACACTGGTATAATTAAAACCTTATATTTAAACTTAGGAAAGTTTGCACATTTTTAAAGAGCAGAACCAATCTTTCACTGATGGCCATGAAGATAATTCTGTGAGTACATGAAAGTCTGAGACTCTTTGTGACTAGTTTCATTTGCATGCACACTTATTAATAATAAAAGAGATTTTTTTTATTTTGAAAAAAAAAGATGCCTTGATCAAGTAGGGCTTATTTGAAAAGTGCAAGTATGATTCAATAGAGCAAGCCTAGTAGCATGTATCATCATAGTGATGAACCAAGGGGAAAAATAGTTATAATAGATACATAAAAAAGCAATTAATAACACCCACTCGTGTTTGCACTTAATAAACCTAGAAGAAAAGGATGCTTTCTTAACATTAAAAAAAATATATCAAAACATTTAGTCCTTTGTGGGCCCTGAAACACCAGTAATTCATGGGGGAAAGCATATGGAAGTTTTTGAAGTGGGAAAGAAGGATATGTGTTACTATGAGTAAAATGAACTTTTTTAGACTTTTTTTGAAAATTCAAGCAACATTTAAAGTCCACTCTCCTCAAATTAACTTCTAAATTTGACATCCTAATCCCAATCAAAATCCTAACTACTTTTAACCAGCTGATTTTCAAGGTCTTCTAGAAAACTAAATAAACGTAAGAGGAGGAGGAGGAATTGCCCTATCTTAGCAGATAAAAGAATACGTCACAGTGATTTATAATGTAGTATTGTTTCACAAAGAGATCAAAAGATTAAACAAACAGAGAAGACAGTTCAAAAAAAGACTCATTGTGCAACTCAAGTTTTGTTTATTATGAAGCTGGCATATAAAAGTAGTGGGAGAAGGACAAATGAGGTAAATGAAGTGAAAAAGTTGGCTCTCCCTTCAGAAATAAAAAGTTTCCCAGTTCATACCACACACGTGTACAAAACGCCAGTCAGATTATGAAAAGATCTAAATGTAAAAAATAAGGCCATACACTTGAAAAGTACCAGAATAAAATACAAAAGAATACCCTCAAAATCCTGGAATGGGACAACCTTCATAAGCATGACAAAAATCATAAATGCCATGAGATAAAATCTGACAAAATATTTATTATATAAACACTGGAAATTTCTATGTAACAGATAACAGGAAATTGAGTAAGTAAAAGAAATTACTTACTACATATAGTACAGGTTAATATTCCTTAATAAGAAATTCCATAAATCAACAAGAAAAGGACAAGAAATTCTAGTGAAAAATGGATGAGAATTTGAATGAGTAAATTATTGAATTTAAAAAATTTAGAGGAGCCAGTCCATTTAGAAAAATAAATGACATTCAAGATAAGGAATGATCAGGTAATAATAATAATAAAGAAATGCATATTAAAATGATAATACATATCCAGTATAATTGGCAAAAGTTTAAAAGTAGGCAATATCCAGTTTGGGTAGGAGAAACAGGCACTCTCAAACACAGTTGGTAGGGATCAAGTTTTAAAAAGCCTTTTTTTGGGTAGGTGATTTGTAGTATACAGCAGAATTGGTACACACTTTGAACTGCCAATTTTACTTTTAGGAGTCTATCCTAAAAAATAAATATACCTCTAGATATGTACAAGAACACATACATATATATATTCACTAAAGCACTGTATTTAATGATAAAAACAGAAAACCAACTAAGTGTCTCCAATTAGCTGAAATAAATGGAAATAATAAAATAGAAAGCCACACTAAGGAATTCAGTAATAGTGAATAAGCAGACATCCATATGTACACACAGTGAAAGTCAATGTTAAAGGGAAAAAGGAGGCTAAAGAATAGTATGTTTAAAATGTAATCCCAGTTTAGGTACAAAAAACTATACAGATTAATATATCTGTACATATGTCTGTATGTATATGAACATATACTGACATACCATGAAAAAGTTCAAGGACAAAACTGTAGTAGACACACTAAGTTGGCTGATTCCATATGTATTTCCACCTCCATTCTTCCTTGCTTTCCTCTGCTATAGAGGCCAAACAACGAATTATTCAATTTCCCAGCCTCTCTTGCAGCTAGAGGTAGCATGCCACACAGGTCTTGCCTGTGAGATGTAGGCAGAAGTCAGCTAAGGTTCTAGGAAAAGGCGTATAGATCCACACTGCCCAATAATCCTATCTGCAGAAATAATCTAGATCTGATTCATACCAGCTCAAAAAAGTTGTTAATTTTTCAAGAATTTTTGTAAACTGGTTATTAAACTCAGCCATTATTAAAAATTAAACATTAAATTAAATAAATTATATTACAAGGGTATTAAGTATTAAAAACTCATCCCTTCCCAATTCCTTCTTATCATGTGTTATTTTCTCTGCTCTTGAGATTATTTGCATCTGTTGTACCTGAATGGTGGAAATACTGTATAGTGAGTGGTGAGCTACTAAGCATTTCTTTCCTCTCCACATTCAGAGACTTCCAAGTTCATAGCTTTAATCTAACATGATGGACATATTTATACCATGAAAATTGGCAAAGACTGTAATTCTTTTTTTTTTTTTGANGGCAACTGTAGATGATCAGGTGTGTGCCTGTAGACTATGTGTTAATCCAGGCTAGACAAGGGCAGCAAAACATCCACGGATGCAGAAGATTTCTCTCAAAGCAGGGGGGGTGAGGTTCTGAGCCTCACCTCTGTTGATCCCCAATGTCTCACCTGATGGCCCCCCTGCGACTGTGCCTGTCTTAGGTTGTTCCTCCCTTGAGGAATCTTACCCGTCTCTGGCTAACCAGTCATCTTCCGGGGCCATACAGGGAAATGGAAAGTTGGTAAGTGAGAGAGAAGCCATATTGTTTGAAAGGTTAGCTTTTTACTTCTTTGCAGATTTATGCCCTGTGGCTTCTATGCCCAGCACTTGTCTCAAGGTATCTTTACCACTTGGAAGAATTATGATACTCGGTAATCTCGATATGAGGCACGAATTCTACTTAAGGGTTGTAATTAGGAAGGAAGAAGAAAAGCTATGGAGGTAGAAGATGGAAGAAAACATGGGAAGATTGATTATTTCTTTGACATATCTTCAAAGACTGTAATTCTTGACTGCTTAAACCAGGAATCATCAAACTAAAGTCTATAGGACAAATCTCACCCACGGCCATTTCTGTGAATAAAATTTTATTTGACCACATTCATGCCCATTTGTTTGCATATGTCTTTGGCTGTTTTTGCCTTATAACAGCACCTATATGGCCTTCAAAGCCTAAAATATTTACTACCTGGCTGTTGATAGAAAACGTCTGCTGACCTGAATTAAAATTAAAATAATGAAGAAAATGGTAATAACGTACATTAAACTTTTAAAAAGTATGTTGTGACTGTAGCCATTACATTGTGATTAGCTTAAAAAAAAGAGGAAATATTCCAGTATTCAAATACTATTATTCAATACAACAAAGAAGCTCATATCACAAATGAGTGAAGTTCCAACATATATCTTTATTATTTTCCCTTACCCATTAATATAACCAAAAATATCAGTCAACCTTCATATTGGAACTCCATTTGTTTGTCTGTGACATGAGCAGCTTCTTTACTGAAGTGTCATCAAGCATTTATTTATAGTCTGACAGTCAGCAACCATAGGTTAGCTCTAAGGATTTGGCAAAAAAAAAAAACAAAAAAAAAACAGTGAAAAGTCTGTGAGAATCAACTGGCTATATAAATTTATAATAAACAGAATTGTATGTTTTATTATTTGTAAATTACACATTACACATCCACTTCATTGGTAAAATTTATAATAAACTTGTGGGTGTATATTTATGCATACTTCTTTTCCCACAAATCCAGTTAGTTAGAACATTTATCACTATACCACTAATTAGCCACATGTGGTTAATGAACACTTGAAACGCAGCTAGTCTAAACTGGGATGTGCTGTAGCTGTAAAATACACTCTGATTTTTGAATCCTTAGTATAAAAATAGAATTTAAAATACATGATTAATAATTTGTGTACTGATTATACTTTGAAACAACATTTTAGACATACTGGGTAAAATAAAATACAATACTGAAATTAGCTTAATGTTTCTTTTTACTTTTAACTGTGACTATTGGAAAATTTAGGGCTATATCTGTGGCTCACAATATTTTCCAATGCACAGCTAGACAGTTTTCCTTGAAGAAAAGGGGGATAAACACAGCTGGTGTGGCTTTTCACACCTTTGAATTCTTTCTTCCTAGAGCCCGGATGTGACAGCTACTGAAGCAAACATCTTGTATCCATGAGGCAGCGAGCTGACAGGCTCAGGACAACACCACAGAACAAGAGAAGAAAACTGCTTCTCCAGTGCTGCTGCTGGGCTGGGCAACACTGGCTCTGAACAACTAACTCCAGAATGAATCCTAGGCGGTCAGGCGTCCCCCCATCATCTGCAACTGAAAAGTGTACGCCTCACCCGTATCACAGCTGAACTTCCGTTGTTTTCTCTTTGAAGTCAGACTGCAGGGAAGAGTGAGGGGAAAGCCTTTGATTTTTTACAATCACATATCAGCAGAGGAAGGCAGACATACACACCAATACGTATACACATGACATTACTGTAAGAGCCATGGTCAAGGTATGAATTTCCCTGAGTATCTTCTTCAAACAGAAAAGCGTACATGAAAATAAAGCCCAGACAGACCTGATTCAGATGTAAATAATGACTCCATAACTTTTTATTATTCCCACCTATGTGATGTTAAGGGAATTATTTCTGAATGCTGCTTCTCTCACAAAATGCAGATACACAGAGATCCTGACTATTCTAACTCAATCGCTGTGATCTTGTCCTCCATGCAACTGACTGGTTCATGGGTACACATAAACTTAGGTCTGATCAATGAACTGCAACACAGAGCTTTTCGAAAGGCTTTTCTCCTGCTTAACGTGCAGCACTTGCTCTTGTCAGGTCTATAAACACAGTAGCCATATTCAGCTTATAAGAGCAGCCAGCCTAAGGACAAAGTCAATAGACTAAGACGGCAAAATTGAAAAGTTAAACAAAACAAAACATAGAACTTTTTTGAAGAATGAGTTGCTGAATTAACCAAAATGCATTGCCTTGCCTCATGACTTCTTGTTTTTGGAGGTAAATCTTTCTATACTGTTTATACCATTATGGCACTATTAGTTGGGATTTCTGCTCTTTGTAACCTAAAGCATGCAGAACAATTATTACTCATATCAAAATTAAATCAACAGCATTTGAAGAGTTCCAGAACAGAACATTTTCTTATTCATTGCAATATAAACATTGAATAAAATATAAATGTTGAAATGTCTTATTTCAAAATGAAAAATCACATCTAAAATATCCATTCATTTAGATATTAGATGCAGAATGGAAATTGTTCAGGGAGAAAAAAAAGCGCTCAGGGATGGAAATCAATGAACTAAAAATGCTCAGAGAACTGAAAAAGAATCTTCTCAAATGAGGAGAACAGGTAACATCATGAAAAGGTTCAAAATCTTGGTAGGTATAAAGACAGAAAGTGACAAATGAGTGTTTGCTTTAATGTGCTGAAATTAAATCAAACTGTTCACTTTCCAAGGCGCTTGAGCTCCGACAGCTTTGGTTGTCGCCCAAATACGTGAAAGGCCTGCACATCTGAATATTAACTCTACTTTCTCCTTATTTTGCCTTTCCCCCATCTGTACTTGCCAAGACTCTGTGTGCTTATACCTACTCTTGAAATCAGGTCCTCAGTACTGAAATCTTGAAACTTTGCTCTTCTCTTTCCAACACCACTGGCTACTCTGTAGTCTTTGCTTTTCTATATACTTTTTGAAGCAACTTTTAAAAATACATGGAACACTATAAAACAAGTATATAAGCAAACAGTCTTGGAAAGTACAGACATAGACAGAAGGGGAAGGCAAATTAAGAAGAAAGTAAAGTCAGATGTGCAAGCCTTGTGCAAGATTAGACACATAGGTCAGTGAATAGAATAAGGAGTCAAGAAATAAAGACACAAATATATGGTGAATTGCAATTCAAAAAAGAAAAGATGGTATTTGCAATAAAGACGAAGATGTTTTATTTATCCCATCTTTATTTTTCTGGGACAAATAGATACATAGAAAAAATTTAATTTCAACCCTTACCTCATAACACACAAATATTAACTCAGAATGGATCACTAACTTATGCATAAAGATAAAAACTATAAAACGTACAGAAGAAAATGTTTGTAACATTAAGGCAGATAGATGACTTAGAAAAGACAAAAAGCTCTAAACTATAAGATAAAAAACTGATAAATTGACTTCATCAAAATTTTAATATTCTGTTCTTCCAAAGTCACCACTAAAAAAATGAAAATACATATACTTGACAAAAGGCTTACATCCAGAATATAGAAATAATGAATTATAAGATAGTGGAATTCAAGGCAGATGATTGGAACAAACATGTCCTAGAAGATGTGTAAATAGTTAAGAAGCACAAGAAAAGATGGCTGACATCATGAGAAATCTAAATTAAAGTCATAGTGAGACACTACTACATACCCATCAGAAGGACGAAAACTGGAAAGACTGATAAAACCAAGTACTGGTGAGAATGTAAAGTAACTGATACTCCCCTACATTGCCAGTGGGAGTGTAAAACTAAACACTCTTGTACCCTATGACCCAGCAATTCCTTTCCTGTTACACGAGAGAAATGAAAATATATATTCATAAAAAAAATGTTTTCAAAGTTTTATTCCTAATAGCCCAAATTTTGAAACAATCCAAGTGTCCACTAATAAACAGGTGAAAAGATATGTAAATTGTGGTTATATTCATACAGCAGAAGTCTACTCAGCAACAAAAGGGAAAAACTGTTGATAAACATAATGATATGGATGAATTTTAAAAACATAAACTGTTTTTTAAAAAGCCAGACACAAAAGGTTAAATACTGGATGGTTCCATTTCTATAAAATTTCTAAAACAGGCAAAACTAATCTATAGCGAGAGAAAGCAGGTCACTGGCCGCAGGGGACAGGGGTTGACTGACTGAGGGAACTTACTGGGATGAGTGAAATGTTCCGTATCTCCGTTTGGGTGGTAGTTACACAGGTCTATACATTTGTTGAAATTCATTGAACTGGTAGTTTAATTTTGTTTTAGGTTAATTATACCTAAAGTTGATATAAAAATTATTTGGAAACAAACAAATTTTACAAAAGTTCCTGTGCAGATCCTTCTCCAGGGTTTAGTTTTTTTCTCCATTTACACTTATCTTTAAGAGGATTTCATGCTGTCTGATCATTTTAAATACCGACTGTGAACTGATGGCTCCCAGATTCTAATCTTGGAGCCTAAATATGTCTCCTAATCTCCAAACTTGAACAAACTACAAGTTACTTAACCTCTCTAACTGGCTGCCTAATGAGTATCTCAAACTTAACATGTTCAAAAAAAGAAATTCTGATTCCACCAAGTCAACTCTTTCCTAAGTCTTCCCTATCTTAGTAAGTGGCACAGTCTCTCACCCAGGTGCTTTGCCCAAGAAACTAAAGTCATTTTTGATACATCTTTATGACTCATATCCTATATCCAACATCTCCAAATCTATCTTTATATCTCACACCATGTAGGATTCATACTCATATCCGAATCTATCTTCAAAATACACATTGGACTGAGTAATCCTGCCTAGGAGCAGGTCCAGGCCTGGGCCACTGTGATAGCCTCCTGACTAGCCTCCCTCCTTAATCTGCTGTAAACACGGCATCCAGAGTACTCAGGCCTTCCCAATGGCTACCCACCGCACCCAGAACAAAATCATGTTTCTTTAAGAACTTTTGTTACCCCAGGATTTTGCTACCATTTAAATGGAGTTTCAAAAGGGAGTACAGATAAACGTGTGCTCGATTTGCTACGTGTAACTGGAAGTCTCAAAATGTAGTCTTAAACCCATTATCAAGACTTCATGTTTCTAAAATCTCGATCATTTCCTGAATTTTATTGTGGTAGTCCAGTTATAATTAAATGGAACTTTAATATGTGCAATACTTGTCTCAAATTTTACTTTGTATGTAATAATACATTCTAAGATAGTTTCTGCCAAGGTATTACAATTAATAGTTTCGTTTATCCTCAAATAACCAACAGGTGAATAACCAACTACCTAGCCATGTAGTCTCCATAAGTTCAAAGGCTTCTTCCACTATTACCACATTTATAAACATCCTTTCTTAGAGATACAATACACGACAGCTATTCTTCACATTTTAAGATCACATGTCTCATCTTTTCCTGAAGTTTGTTAAAGATGTCCCTTTGACTCAACACACTCGCCTTCTACAGAGGGAATAAAAAGAACAGTAAAACAAGCCTTCTTCATTTCAAGAATCTGCCACTGAGTCAGGGATCCTAGCTGAAAGGGTATCTCGCCGCAACCCTCCTTACCCAGAATGACTCAGGAGACACGGGCCCACGCAGGAGACTTTATTATCTGAAGGAGAGAGTGGCTGCCCCAGAGGGAGGGGGGTGGAGAAAGAGAGAGAGAGGGGGCAGCGGGACAGAGAGCAGAGAGACAGACAGAAAGACAGACAGAGAGAGAGAGAGAGAGAGAGAGAGAGAGCAGCAGAAAGACAGAGAGAGGCAGAGAGAGCAGCAGTGAGCAGAGACGGAGAGGGAGCAGCGAATGAGAGGGACAGAGAGGGGGGGGAGAGAGAGAGAGAGAGAGAGCGCGCAGGGGGACAGAGAGACAGAGACAAAGAGAGAGAGGGAGAGAGAGCGCGACGGAGAGACAGAGAGAGAGAGAGGGCAGCAGAGACAGAGAGAGAGAGAGAGGGCAGCAGAGAGACAGACAGACACACAGAGACAGAGAGAGAGGGTAGCAGCGTGGTGCCTTTTATTGTGGCGGATCCGCTCGGCCTGTTGCCTTGGGGGAGGGTGGGGATGTTTAGAGATAAGGCGGGGTCAGCCCAGGCAAGTCCCAGGTGTAATTCTCACCGGCTTATGTGCTTGGGACCACGGGGCAAATGGAGGATAAATTACTATTTTCTTACACTAGCCACCATGCCTGACAGCCAATTGTGAGTAATAATGCTGGGTTTCAGAGGATTCGTTATCTAAATGCCAACTACTCTCAGTATGTCCACAGTGTTATGTTCAGAATATCTTTATCACATTGTGTTAAGACTGGTTTCTTTCTTAGAAGTTTATGTTCTTCATTTGATTGAGCTCCTCAAAAATCTCAGATACCTGAGTATCTGAGTGTCTAGAACTGTGGCTGACAAAAAGAAGACATTCTGTGAAGTTCTACTGTTTGTGACACATGCGTGCAAGAGTTAATGGTGATGGGAAGGTGGGCAAGTGGCAGAACAGAAGTAGTGTGAGAAGACCACCACAAGGCAGAGAACTAACTAAGGCTCCTCCTAGGACGGCGACATCAATGTAGGCTCCAAAAGCAGAATAAAAGCAATACAGGGCAGACGAACTTCCCAGGGAGTGGAGTGCAT